TGCCTCCACTTTGTGAGCAGCTGTCTCCCATTTTCACAGTGTGGTCTCATTTCCTGATCCAGCACTCAACACCTTTCTACAGTAAGCTGTGGGAGTGTAAACCGCACTAGGCTGATCTTTCCATGCCAACTCATCTTTCAAGTCTCTGTTAAGATGGTACTCTTCAATGGTTCTTAAGAAGTCACTATGTTGACCCCTCTCCCATCTGAAAGGATGTCTCCTAAGCTTCACCCTCCACATCCATTTCTCTCCTTCCCAGAGTCCATAGTCTTTTACTTTCCCTTCTTATTAGAGGCAAGAGCAAAGATATGGGGAAAAGTGTCTTTGAGTTTAAGTCCTTCGATCCATTCATCCTCCCAAAATTTTATTCTTTCCTCATTTCCAGCAATAAAGGCAAAGTTAGGAACCACGTGCATAAAATGAAAGATGGAGGGGAAAAGCGGGGAAATAATGTTTTTCCATAATGGCAATAACCTCCTGCTATTGATGTCCTGTAAGAAACAGTCCGGATCCATGGCATTCTTGTCGACCAACACATTTATGCAACTATAGTTGACTGCTGTATTCTGATTATAAACTGTTTTTGTACATTCAGTAGTTTTATTTGTGACTGTCATTGACCTTGGTATTGATGTGTCTGATTCAGGGCTTGACAGTCAAAGAGATGGAAGAGCTTCGTGATGACATCAAAATGCATCTTGATTTGGACAGGGCAACTCCAACACACATAGAGTACTGGGAGGTATTGTCCCTTTCCTCTTTATTCATGCTTTGTACAGAGCCAACTCTTTTTGGATATCATTCCCTTTATGTGTGTCTATCATGAAGATTTTTTCAGCCAATTTATTATTTTAATTTTACTTATTTGAAATTTCCATCCTCCATGCTCCCTCGAACTTGTAAAACATAACAGCCCCGGATAGAAGAAAATTGCAGGTTTGATGAACCGAGAGTAGTAAAGCACCTCCCTTAGAATATTTTTTCTTTGTCTGTATTGCTCTCATGTATGCGCCCTTTTCTGTCTTTTTTATAATGCATTTTCTTTATAGAAGTGACTTGACAAAATCTTGGTATGTGTAATTCCATAGGCGCTTATGGTGGTATGTGATTGGGAGTTAGCTGAAGCCCAGAAGAAGGATGCGCTTGATCGAGCTAGGGTGCGTGGGGAGGAACCTCCAGCAGAGTTGCTGGCAGAAGAAAGAGGTCTGCATTCTAGTATTGAAGCAGATGTCAAGAATCTCTTGGAAGGGAAGACCCATCATGAGCTGGAGGCATTACAATCCCAGATTGAGTCACAGATGCGTACTGGCACGGCAAAGGTTGTTGAGTATTGGGAGGCTGTTCTTAAACGTCTTCATATTTTCAAAGCAAAGGTACTTCTGTTTAGTTATTCTTCATGGTGTTCTTATTATGTTCATGATGTTTCTCTGGGGCTTACATGCAAGTTTATGTTTTAACAGGCCTGTTTGAAGGAAATACATGCTAAAATGCTGCGTAAACATTTACAACGCCTTGAGCAACCTTCAGAAGGTGAAGATAGACTGGAATCTCATCATGGTCTAAGATCTGGAGAGGAGGATAGTGATCATGATGTGAAAGGTAGGTGCTTAGTCAAGGACTCAATGGGATATAATGGTTTCATCTTTAGATTTTCTGAATGTAGGACAGTTAGTTAATTTTTCTTTCCTCTATAGATGCTGAAACATATTCTCCTGAACCCATACTACAAGAAGAGACACATGAGGTGGAAGAAGAGGCTGGATCATTTTCACCAGAACTGTTGCATGGTGATGAAAATGAAGAAGCTATTGACCCTGAAGAGGACAGGGCTATACTGGTAACTCAATATCTTTATTGCCTCTTAATGAGCATGCAAGCAGGAGTATTTATGGTTGACCATATTTTATGTTAACAGGAAAGGAAGCGTATGGCTGTGTTAGAGGAGCAGCAAAGACGGATGCAAGAAGCTATGGCAGCAAAACCTACCCCTTCAGAAGATAACTTTGAGCTAAAAGCCATGAAAGCTATGGGAGCACTGGAGGAGGGAGATGCAGTATTTGGCTCTGCTGCTGAAGTAAACTTGGACTCACAGGTGCTTTAACTACTCACCCCTTTTTTGTTGAAATAAAATTGGGAATTGGCAGTTGGCCACTCTATTTTAATGTTTTGAAGTCAACTAATATATGCATTGGTACAGGTGTATTGGTGGCATGACAAATACCGACCTAGAAAACCAAAATATTTCAACCGCGTTCACACTGGATATGAATGGAACAAGTACAACCAGACCCATTATGATCATGACAATCCACCTCCTAAAATCGTGCAAGGATATAAGTTTAATATCTTCTACCCAGACCTTGTCGACAAGACCAAGGCTCCTGCATTTACTATCGAGAAGGATGGAAATAGTACGGAGACTTGCATCATAAGGTTCCATGCTGGGCCACCCTACGAGGACATTGTAAGTTCACTTCGATTAGCCTTATCATGACCAAACCACTGATCCATCTGTAAATGTTATTCAAGATGTTTTTCGCAAGTAAATTACTAACTCATTTGCAATTGTTCCACAGGCTTTCCGGATTGTTAACAAAGAGTGGGAGTATTCTCATAAGAAGGGATTTAAATGCACATTTGAACGTGGAATTTTGCACGTATATTTTAACTTCAAGCGCTATCGCTACCGTAGGTGATATGTGGCTTTTTTGCAACTTCGGCTTTTGAAATTGTTTAACTGCCTAACCCTAGATAACCATTATAGTAGTTCATGTAACAGATTTTGTTCTATTGCTAAAAAAATAGAACTATGTGAATAGTAAGTATTCTCATTTTCCCCCCATAGTGAGCTGGATTTTTCCTCTTTTCATCACTTTCAGTTTGTGAGTAATATATTTCCATTGGCCTCTGCCCTCAGATACCACTCACTCTGAAACATTGAAGTGATAACTCATGCTCTTGTTGGTATCGGATATTGAAATGGGACTGTTATATTGTAGTTGCTTGTCTCTCAAACATGTTTGAATAATCAACCTAACAATACCACAGTCCCTGGAAGATGTGTTCCCATTCTGTCAAACAATCATATCTTACCCCCTTGGTTTTGATCAGGTTATTTTCCTTGTATTTTTGCAGGATAACTAGGCTATTGATACATAGAAATGTTCATATTGGCGGATGCCGACAATTACATTACATGGTAGTTTTTATTTACGACTCATTGCCTTTTTTGTCATTAGAAAATGTGGAGACATGGATGTGCATCGCCACATCATTGGCGTTGGGCCCGTTTATGTGGGAATTGAATGGAAGACAAATCCCATTATAAAACCAAAGAAGGAGAAATCATGAGTACTTATGTTGGGGCCTTCCTTATTAAGTAAAGATCCCCCAATTCTCCTCCCACTAAACTACTCAATACTTCACGAAACAAATCTCCGAAGAGATTTTAATATTAAAAGCATTTGGTGGCTATTAGTTACACTCAATGGACAAGGATGTCATGCTTATGTCTTGCCTTTGTGTCATCAACTTTGATAATTACATGTAATGCTTTGCTTCTTGGTAATAATTTAAGGGTAAATCAAACAGACTGATGCTAAAAAGAATAGTGCTTTTTCAACAAATTTCCAAGTGTTTTGGCCAATTAGCAAAGGGCTTTGGTTGACTTGGCTTTGCTGGAAATCAATAATAATTGTGAAAGACACTTCGCTGAACAGTTGTAGCTATTATATTAAGTTGACTGGAAGGCATTTAAATAACACTTTCAAAAGTGGTAATGAAATTAAAACTTAATTAAGCATGATTGCAAATTGCCACACCCAGGAAGCAGTGGAAAATATAGGAACATCACAAACAAACACCATAGGGAGCAAATTGTATTGCTCTTGACTAACCCCATTCTCGAAAAAAAAGTAACCTTCTATCTTTATTCGCATCTTCATAAGCCTTTCCGGGTGTCCATGTTCTATTGAACCAAGGGAAGAAAAAACATGGCGTACCCTGTCCAATATGCTCTTTCGGGTGAAGGATGCTTTGTCCCATAATCCCATTTGTCCTTACTAATCATACCACCCAAGAACGCCAAAGGCAAAAGGGTCAATAACCAATCGCACTTCTTCACGGTATGGCATGTGAAATATGATCCTGTTAAAAAATAATAATAATACTAGAATTGGTTTGTGCTATCGATGTATAGAACATGCATAGTTCAAGTATTTATATATTTTCTATAATTGATAGGTGTGATTTTTTTTTATTTAAATTTACTTGATTGCATATTTTTTATGTTTAAAACTGAATTCGAATGCTGCTTATTAAATAAATTTTTTAATAATAAAATAATTATTTTTTGTGAAATTTGAGAATTGAATCTTTTTTCATAATATATCGATAAAATTGAACGATTAGGTTAGATACTAAAATGATAATTAATTTGAACTAATTACTCCTTTATTATGAAATGGAAAGACCTGAGGAAACAATAATTGGGTTATACAAGGCAGCTCGCATCGTCAGTAAAAGAAAAATAAAAGTAAATAGTCCTTGGAAATTAAGCGTCTGGTCGAAAATGTGGACCACATCTTGCCTACTTTTGACTTGTGTGATTCTAGAACATGTTCATTGCCTTCATCTATACAAGAGCAGCAGATTTACAAGTACTGAGTTGTCCCTAACTAGCATAGCAGCCGAGGTCAGAAGACAAAATTAGCCTGTGCCATCCATATAAATGTTAAGCCATTTTCACCATTTCTTGAACACCTGTATGTCTCAAGTGTAAACTGGTTATTGAGTCGGGGTTGGTGTTTGGTTGGATAGAAAATCACATACTTAAATATGCTAGTAGCCGTGATATATCAATAGCTGTTGTCTGGGAAACAACGTTCCAAAATTTTCCAGCAAAGGAAATTGCTTTTGCTTCATGTTATTAAAACTAGTTTGGCAAAGTTGAAGACAGAACTCCATTCCACTAAGATTAGCGGGGGAGGGAAGCAATAGAAGCTACGTTAGATATGCATTTTGACATAGATTTACATCAAACACTTCCATGTACGTTGAGAGAGAGAGAGCACATATTACATATGATATTGGAAAAGCAGTGAACTCTTAGGTAGTGCTTTCCTCGTATGACAAGCCTACAACATTCATTGAAACTTTATAGGCAAATGCTTTCCCCAATTCGAAAAGCTTGTCTGCTATTTGTCCACACACAAATTCTTAATTACTAAATCCTAACAGATTCCCAGTTGCCCATATGTCAAAGTCCCTAGTCCTTCGGATCATCCAAATACTTTCTACACAAAAGCAAGAATCTGATCCCAATCTTTTCTTTTATGTCTTTCCATCCACTCAAATCCATGCTTGGAATCCACTTTTGCTTGTGTGCACTATTCAAGACCAATGTCCTTCTCAGCATCATTTTGTGCATACTCCATTCCCCTAAAACCAGTCTTTTCCTTTGTAATATGGGTGACTATTCAGATATTATAGACATCCATGACAGCATATTTCAAGCCATAAACTCAGAAAACACCAACACGGTTTGTTTACATAATCTCAACGCTAACCTCTTCATCGACATTTTCCTGATCTATAATTTGAATTATGCACTGGAGATTTTGGACGACAGCCTTCATGCCAGGTCTATCTGCCTTCTTCTCTCCCAGACAGACAAATGCAAGCTCTGAGAACATTTTGACACTCTTCAGCATATTGACTGAGGGCTCCTTGCCAAGTAGCCGCTGATCCATAACTTCCATGATTGCACCATCACTGGCACGTTGGCTAACATAAATGGCTAGATTGACATCATCCTGATCTCTTGAGAAGTCAATGGCCCTTTGAGAAGTCAGTAACTCTAGCAGCACCACTCCATAACTGTAAACATCACTTTTATCGGTCAACTGGTAGTTGCGATAGTACTCAGGATCCAAGTACCCAAGGGTTCCCTGGGCACAGGTTGAGACATGGCTCAGGCCTGGGCTGGCCAATCTGGAAAGCCCGAAATCTGAAACTTTTGCATTGAAGTCATCATCTAAAAGTATATTGGTTGATTTGACATCCCTATGGTAAATGGGGGTGTGTGCTGCAGAATGTAGATAGGCCAGTGCTTCAGCCGTTTGTAAAGCGATTTTCAGCCTTGTTTTCCAGTCCAGAAAAGTGGAATACTTCCCATGTAAATGATCATATAGGGTCCCGTTTGAAATATACTCGTAGATCATCAATGGCTGTTCAGCTTCCACGCAACAACCTAAGAGTCTGACCAAGTTCTTGTGATTGACTTGAGAAAGAATCCCAACTTCGTTCAGTACCTGCTCGGTGCTTTTGATGTTCCCAACTTTAGCCGACTTAACTGCCACAACAGTCCCATCCGGAAGCTCACCTTTGTAGACTTCCCCAAATCCACCGCTCCCTAGAACCCTGTCCCTAGAAAAACCGTTTGTTGCTTTTTTCACCTCTTTCAAGCGAAACATCTTTGCTGGTTTGCCACCATTGCTTGATCTCAACATGTCTTCTCTTACCTTCATGAGCTTCGCCTGGTTAGAATTTCTCCAGGACTTTCTGTAAGTAATTGCAGCAGTTGCCAGAGCTAGTGTGAAAAAGGAGATTACTCCTACGGAGACCTTTAAGCCGACGCCAGCTCTATTGTTTCTCTTCTTTCTCAAGCAAGTTCCAAGCACGGGGTCCCAGTTGTAGCCCTTATTGCAAAGGCAGCGAGAGAGGCCTTTTGCACCAGCAGGTAAACACTTGGAAGCCCCAGAGCAATCAGGTTGGCTTTGACAGACAGGCTCAGGCGGAGGAGCCCACTGAATTTCCAACCCCTCTTCCCATTCATTTGCAGGCTTTTCTGGATCCAAATGAAGGATGCTTCTGAAACCTTGACAACCTGAACTGTGAAGCCGTATTTTGTATGCTGAAGGCATCCCACCTGCAGTGAAAGTGCAGCATGGATCAAGCCCACTTGCACACTGCAGTGCTCGTTTTGCTTCAACATGTCCAGAGCTCTCCAAATAACGGTGACAAAGACTTGTAGGAGTGCAGTTAAGAGGAGAGACCAAAAGGCGGGGTGAACAGTTGAAGAGAAAGATGGTGTTTGAGGAAGTGATGTTAAAGGGGAGTGTTTGGTTTAACCAGAGGCCTTCACTCACTGGCATGTCTTGAGTTACACATTTGCCTGGCAGCCATGGTGATGGTTGAACAACCATGCGGTGGAATGAAGCCATGATTCTGGTAACAAGGTAAGAACTTCCATTCAAAGCGTCAAAGAAAAGTTTCTGAGACTGGGAGTCACAACGAAGAGAGTAGCTTGGGTCACCGCAGTTGGGGTGTGTGCTTAAGGGATATGGTATCTCCATGGAACCACAGCTTGGACAAGTCCTCTGGGAAGAACAGTGATGACCAAGCAAAAGAAGACAGAAAATAAAGATGCAAATGAAGAGTGGTTTTCCGTTCAGCTCAGTTGAGATCATTGTGCATGAACAAAAGGCACGAGCTGAAACGGCTACAACGCAAAGAGAAAGGATGCTGGGCTAATAAAAAGGCCTGAGAAGGAGAATAAAGTAGGTAAATTAATCATTATGAAAAGTCGCTGAAAGAATCTATATGAAAAACCATCCCTCTTTTGTCATTTACAGGATGGGTGGATTCCTACTGTATCGCATCCTTAGGGAAGGAATTGCTAGCTATGTTCTCTACATAGGGATAGATTTTCCAGGGGAAGGCTTCATGGCTCTTTTATAGATATCAGACTTTCTTCCTCTTCTTTAATGGGGTAGACGAACAAATCATGGAAGTTAAATTCCACAACATAATTACTTGCTCTCCCACTACAACTTTCAATGTTGATCTCTTAAAAACATACACGTGGATCAGCCAAAGGCATGCACAAACTCCACAAACAACATATCATATTTTATGAGCACCCAAGTAATTAGTGAGTGCAGGGGTTTTTGTGCTGATTTATGAACAAACCATCCGTTCAACAGGACAACACAATTAGCTTATTGAAGAAAATAAAAAAAAAATATTAAGATGAAGAAATAACTAGTACAGACAGCAGCTACATGAACAACAGCCTCAAGGGAAAAGAGATGGAAGTGATTAAAATACCTTCTTTCATAGCATGTTTTTGAACTTCTAGAAGGGAAAAGATGTAAAGCAGGGTCATTTGATTTGGCATGGAAACTTTTTAATATCCACAAAAAAAAGAAGTGATTTTATACAAAAGATAAGAAGCAAGGAGTCCAGAGAAAGAGAACCTCTGCAAGAATAAAAATTGAGAACATAATAACCAAAGTAACAGGTATAAAAGTTGTAAACAAGCTATAATATCAATGATACTAAATCAGTTAAAGTGGACAGGTCTATTTTTTAAAGTTAAAGAGACGAAGCACCTCTGGCTCCACTGTAAAAGATGGAGCAAGAGGCAGTCTTCTACTTTCCCAAATTGTCATCTTCTGTGCCTTAAGTCATCCACATTACAAGCAGCAGGATTACGTGATTTAACCTTCAACAACTTTCACAGGAGTCCTGCAGCACAAATCAATGTCTAAACCAAACTGCCAGAGACAATTAAATACACATATACATATACATAACCATAAACACATATAGTGTGCTAGTAAGCTCAATGTTACACTTTTAAGGATCCATTACTTACCCAAATGGGCTTTGTTTGATAGCCAGTAGCTCAACATCCAACTGCAGGTTAGAGAAGTAACAGAATAGTGAAGATGCAGAAAAAGAAACAAAGGGGAGGGTATTATAGGGATTGGGGGATGAAAAAGATACAATGAACAATACACTAAGTATAGATATTATTCATGAGATTAACCAAAAATTATGGACTAAATTTTTCGTAAATCAATAATGTAAAGGAACAGAAATATGGCAAAGAATGGCTGGGAAACTTTTTCTTTCTCTCTGATTAATGCATAGACTCACATAGCATGGAAATCAAAAATTTACTTATGACCTTGGAAGGAGCCTGCTCTATCGTTTCACAAGGTCCAAATTGGCGAAGGAACTCTCATTACAGTAGAAATCTATTACAGACATTTAAGTTCTGTTATTTTTGTGAGACTCAAAAGAAACAAAGAAGCGATAAAAATTTCTTGTTCTGAAGGTACAGATGGATTTATATGCCTCTTTCTAAATTTTTATCCCCACTAAACATCAAGCCTCACATACCCTACCCTCTCGAAAGAATGAAATATGTAATTTGATTTTTTTCTTACAAAAAAGTCCCTATTGGTATTGGACATAACTTGCTCAGATAGAGGTAAACCTTATATAATTACTCAAGGAACAGCTGTGGAACAAAGGATAAGTAGAACCAGCTTAATGTGGTAATATACTGGAAACCAACAAATTCATCAAATATTAGCACAATCCTACTTATGAGGCGGAAGATGTTAGACAGAGATATGCAACTCTAGGCTGTTTCATTGCTGACAAATAATAAGTATGAAACAACGCCCCTTTTTCAGGTATATGTCCCATTTTAAAGGATGAATGTACCTTTGAACGTTTGTGAATTTCATATAAGTATACAACATCTAGATAAATTATAGATGCACTCTCAGCCTCTTATAACTAAAAACAGATGATGGACGCATTACCTCAATTGTTGCATTTGGAGGGATTTCCTGGACTCCCTTTTTTCCATAAGCTAGCTCAGGGGGAACTATCAGCAGCCGCTGAAATAAACTATTGGTTAAGCAACATTTGTCTTTTCAATTTAAAGGCAAAGATGCGCATCTAACTTCATGCTCAGTAATCATACATATCAGAGTGAACAAAAAGGCAATCAGGCATCAACTCAAGACAGCTCTACTCTAATGGAGGAAAAAGAGCTTGTACAAGCTATACTGTGGCCCAGAAAGAACCTGAAATCTTAAAAGGTATAAGTATGAAGGAATCATAATTTTCTTATAAAATTCCTTCATTTTATAGGATTTCAGGAAATGTAGATAAAACCACAGGATTTAGGAGGCTAATAGATCTACCTTCTAAGTTATGCCATATATGGTCTTTACAAGAAACAATGAGGAAATTGTTTGCTAAAAACAGATCTCACCTGGCCTCCTACACACATTCCTTCAACACCAAGATCCAATCCCTTAAGCACATTTCCCCTTTCAGACTGGCCAACATCAAATCCATAAGGCTGCACTCATTCAAACATTTCCAAATTGTCTAAGAGGGGAAAGTTTAAGGAAAAGTATAACAGACTCAAATCATTACCGATAAAAGTCTCTACTTCACATTGAAGGTATGTAGACAATCTATTTTCATAATATGAACCTAAGACTGCTTTGCTATTTGACATCACCCTACCAGAAATGGTCAGTCTGATAAATGCCAGGAGTAAACAGACAGAATAAAATCAATACAATAGAGGTCACAGTGAAGCCATAGCAAGTGCAGACTGTATTAATGTCCCTGCTAACAAATTTGTTCTGAGTGATATCTGTGAAACATGGAGAATCAGAATGAAGTTCAATGTGATACAGAGTTTGTGCTAGAAGAAGAAAATTTTAACCTTGTTCAAACTAAGTACCCTCTTAATACCAAGAAGTTTAATCTCAAACTCTGGGTGGATTTGTAAATCTGAATGCCTAGTTTGTGCAGGAGGTTACCAATCAAAAGAATGGATCATGCTGACTTAGTACCCCATAAGTCTTTGACGGCATAAGGACTTGGGAAAAAAATCTATGTTCAATTTTTTGGCGGAAGATCTCATGAATTTCATTTACAAATGATGAATCTTGCCACAAGAACACATGAAATCTCCAAGCAGTTCAATTGAATATTACTACAGCTTCTAATATAATAACAAGATGTGGGGTGCTGATTCAAGTTTTAGTTTCTGTTTTGGACAATCCTCTGAAAGATTTTTCACTGTAAATAGCATTCATCAAAAAAGATGTCCATTATAGATTGGACATTCATTTTGTTGAAAGTCGTATGATTAGATTGAGCTTCTGCTTATTTATCAATTAGGCAGCCTAGCTAGATTTTTGAACTGTACTGCACATTTTACAGCCATGGTGATTATTAAGACATGAAAAGGCCTATGGAATGTTTCTTACTTTACCTTTTCTTTCTAGATGAAGAACCAGGAAACTAGTAATGGTTGCTTCCTGGATGAGGAACAGAATAGAAGTCTGGTGTTATCAGTAGATTTTTATAAGGTGTCAAAATAGTTTTGCCGTTCTACATGTCGCATACCATAAAGATTATTTCTTTTTCTTTCTTATGTCTAAAATACTAGATCATCCCTTTTCTTCTAAACAAAATACTGAATTATTTTGATCTTACTGTCCCCCCTCCAACACCAAGTCCTTGTCTGCTAGTCATAAATGTGATGCCTCTCCATTTAGCAACATAATGAACCTACAAAAAAAGAGCCATACTGCATTAGTTATATTTTGAGTTTATGGGATAAACCAACACGACTATAGAACATTATTGGATTTGTCAGAGGTGAAAAACAACTTCAAATGGGTGTAGCCCTGATATTATGAATGGGGAACAGGTGCAATCTTTGATAAATGAAAGGTCACTTGCATGTATAAAGAAAAATCTTTTTCATTTTACTTTTTCACTGAAGATGGAACACTTCAATAACATTTGGTTTCACAAGTAATCAGTGAAATCTTTATGACCATGCTTTCTAATAGTATGTTCAAGTACATTTGAGATTTTGTCCTTCTCCATTCTTGCACTTTAGCTTTAATCAAATACTAATATTACTACAGTGACTATTGATGGTACATATGTGACCTTAGAAACATGGCTCTTTGTCATCTTGGAAATAATTCTCACTTTGAAAATTAGGTGATGGAAACTAACTTTCAGATTATTGCTTTTGTTTTTTGATGTTTTAGGCTTGATTTTCAGAATTTTTTTAGAACTTAAGAAATATAAAGTCTAATATATTGATTCTACTGAGCATCATGTCCAAAATCAGACACACAGAAAGGAAAGAGGGAGAAAGAAAAGTGAACTCAATGCCATTGTAGTTCATCATTGACTGGACATTAGTGATTTAGCATTTCTCACTTCAGAAATATGATTAGCTTCTGAGCCTCTCTCAATTACAAATAGTCTATATGCAGATTGGTTGAAAGTAAGGAAAACAGATCACAGAGTTTCTAGCAAAGAGTTTTTAATGAAATCTAACTAGGTCACAACCGTACTGCAACCCGAGATCCCTTAACAGCCTTAAGTCCACTGCCAACCTTCAAATCATAGTACCTGGAGAATATAGTGAATGTTAAAATTGGTATAAGCACTTCAATGGTAGAACAACAGAGAAGAAAGGCAGCAACAGCATGTTCTTATTCAGTTTTTCCTATAAGCCAAAGAAATATATGATATATTAAACGTTAATGTAAGATATAAGAAGGAGCAACCACCTACGGGTTGTTCACCATCGATCTCACCCAAAACTCTCAAAATCCAGCACTCTAAGAATAGATACTAGCACATTAAATAGAATATAATATCTGTCATTATATTGCATAGATTATGGGCCTTATGATGCAGTTTCTCTAAAATGATATCTAGAATATAAAAGTGTCTTCCAAGTTTAAGATGAAATAAAAGGAATAGAAAATTGTACAAATAAAAGAGGCATAACGATGAGAAATGCAGAATATGAAAGGTAGTCAAATTTACTAACTTCAGCCCATTGGGAAGAGTTGTGAATTCACTCTCAGGAATTTTAGCTCCTCTAAGCTGCAAGAACCAATATTAAGTGCCCAAATTATACTTTGTTAAGGACTAGAAACCACCAAAAACTAAAATACAATTGAAAGGATACTTACAGCTCTTCGACTCGTGCTAACTGCCTCAGCCACATCACAAACATACATTGCAGCAGCTGATCAGTCATAACAAAAGTTAATAGAACACTAAAGAGATGGGTTTGATGTAATGAGAAACCGTAAAATGGGATTGATGTCATGCTCTAACCAGCCGTGAGGAGAGAACCAACCAATGCCCTTCTTCCCTCATGCTGCAAAGACAGAATTGCTGGTTTCGAGGTATCATCAGAAGATGACAATGCGCAGAAACATGGCAACAGAAATGAACTCTTCTTTGGCAGTCTCTTCCCTACAAATTCGATCAAGTACTGCTTAGCTTAGCTAAATGACATAAAACAAAACACTCATCCAAGGAATGACAAGTAGAGAGAGACATGGGAAGGCAAAGTGTTTACCTGAAAAGGGAACTGAGAAGAGAGGCTTGTGGAGAAGAGTTAAGCTGTTTTGATGGGAAGGGCAGAGGGAGAGTTCCATTGAGAGTTGGCTATGTGACAGTTAAGAACTGAGGGAGTAGGGAAGTTCATCCATGTTTTTTCTGACTTTTTCCCATTTGGCTATGAAACAGAGGAGATAACATGGTCAATACCAGCCACATATTTAAAGAGTTCCCCCAGGAAACAAAAATCATAAAACCAAGTACAATTGGATGTCAACTGAATGACCTGTAATTAGGGTCCCACCAGAAAAGTCTATTTGGATTGGACCAATGTTTTTGCCATTTTTATTAAGTAGCAGCAAGACTAATCCACTGCTTTATCCATGTTGGGCATGGGAGTGAAAGTTAATAAAATACTCTTGCAATCAAGTCCAGATGTTTCCTTCTGATACCCACCTAAAAAGTTTCAATAGGTTGGTGTTTGGTAGACCTCTTTTTTTTTCTTTTGTTTAAGTTCATTAGAATTCAGAAACATAAAATTAGAACTGAAATTAAACTAATAATTACAAAGGTACAACAGTATCGAATTCATAAAACTCTTTAACTTTTAAACTATGTAATTAGCAATTATTTTCTACATAATTTACCAGCTGCAGTTTTTTTCTTCTTACTGCAGGGTTTCTAATTGACATGAAAATATGAAATGGATAAAGAAAAGGGAGGGGGCTTGGGGGAGAATTTTATACACTAGAGCATGATCTCCTTGCAGGAACAAGATGTTCCCCTTCATCAGAAACAGGATGCCTCCCAAAGCACTTGCTCTCATGCTTTTCTTTTTCATCCAACTTTGACTTAATTTTCTCACTTCCTTCCACCCATTTCTTGAATTTTTTAAGCAACTTCTGCCTTTTGGAGCAAACTTGACCACCGGTTGTATCACCTAAGCAGGGCTCACCTTTCTCCATCAATGCTGGACCATTTAATTGTTGTTCTATTCTAAAACCTACAATTTCTCCACCCTCTTCATTTTCTTGTTCCAGATGATCTTTATTCTCCTGGATATAGTCTTGCAGCAGTTGATATCTCTTCAGCTCGTACCTCAAGCATGCGTTGCACCATCTTAAGTAAATAAGCTCCTTAAGCTCAGCAGCTCTGTCCTTTTGGACTTGTTCATATTCATTTTCAAGTTGGTTGTATTCCTCTATTGTTACCGCCTCTTCCTCACTCTGCAAATAAAAAAAGGTGGTCACAGTTACATTGCATATACTGTTGTTTTTATAAAAATGTTCAGTTTAGGTGCCGAAAAGTAAAATTAACAAACCTTTGAGATTGATGAATGTGAATTCTCTGCCAAGTCCAACTTTCTTGAAAGCTCATTTTTCTGTTCCTGCAATTGCTCAGTGAGAGATTTCAGCTCCCTAACTTCATCCTCTAGTTTCTTAATATCATTGGATCTTCCTTCTTGTATTTCACCATTTCTTTTAACCTCTGCATCTTTAGCTTCAATCTTCAAATCTTTTTCCCTTATAATTTTGGCTTGGCCTTTTGTTTTTCTCAAAAGCCTCTTTGCTTTTCTCTGAAGCAATCCATTCTGTGTTTTCCAATGCCCAAGCTGCTCAACAACTCTTAAATATTCCGTAACTATATTTTTGACCCTTTTGTTCTCAGCCTCCATGGATGAAATTTCTCTATCCAAGAACTCAACATAGAAAGTCTCTAACAACAACATGTTCTTAAGCTCCATAAGCACAGATTCTTGTTCTTTAAGATCACAAAAACGAAGAAACTGCCTCTCTAATTCCCATTCTCTTTTCTGAAGTTCTTCAACTCGCATTCTTAGGCCTAAAATCTCTTCTTCATAAGCAGTTATTTCCTGAATTTCTGCACTTCTAATCAGATTCGTAAAATGAGTACTTGCAACAAGCTTCTCTTCATCTTCTCTAGAAGTGGAAGATGTGGAATTCAGGCTACCTTCACCTCTAAACTCCTCCTGAGAATCAGTTTCAACGGGACTTACCTGGGTTTCAAATGAAGAAGCTTCAGGATGTATTCTTCTTTTGGCTATGATCCTGGCATAGATAAAACCAGCCACAGAGAGTGCCAAAGGGATGCCAGCTTTAAGAAGCACTGGCTTTATTACTTCAGCTTTTGATGATGAACTCTCCATGACAGAGACAGGTATCAGTTACGATTTAGAGTTAGAATGTTTTCTTTGATCAATTTC